CAGCCATGCCACACATGCAACCAGCCATGCCACACATGCAACCAGCCATGCCACACATGCAACCAGCCATGCCACACATGCAACCAGCCATGCCACACATGCAACCAGCCATGCCACACATGCAACCAGCCATGCCACACATGCAACCAGCCATGCCACACATGCAACCAGCCATGCCACACATGCAACCAGCCATGCCACACATGCAACCAGCCATGCCACACATGCAACCAGCCATGCCACACATGCAACCAGCCATGCCACACATGCAACCAGCCATGCCACACATGCAACCAGCCATGCCACACATGCAACCAGCCATGCCACACATGCAACCAGCCATGCCACACATGCAACCAGCCATGCCACACATGCAACCAGCCATGCCACACATGCAACCAGCCATGCCACACATGCAACCAGCCATGCCACACATGCAACCAGCCATGCCACACATGCAACCAGCCATGCCACACATGCAACCAGCCATGCCACACATGCAACCAGCCATGCCACACATGCAACCAGCCATGCCACACATGCAACCAGCCATGCCACACATGCAACCAGCCATGCCACACATGCAACCAGCCATGCCACACATGCAACCAGCCATGCCACACATGCAACCAGCCATGCCACACATGCAACCAGCCATGCCACACATGCAACCAGCCATGCCACACATGCAACCAGCCATGCCACACATGCAACCAGCCATGCCACACATGCAACCAGCCATGCCACACATGCAACCAGCCATGCCACACATGCAACCAGCCATGCCACACATGCAACCAGCCATGCCACACATGCAACCAGCCATGCCACACATGCAACCAGCCATGCCACACATGCAACCAGCCATGCCACACATGCAACCAGCCATGCCACACATGCAACCAGCCATGCCACACATGCAACCAGCCATGCCACACATGCAACCAGCCATGCCACACATGCAACCAGCCATGCCACACATGCAACCAGCCATGCCACACATGCAACCAGCCATGCCACACATGCAACCAGCCATGCCACACATGCAACCAGCCATGCCACACATGCAACCAGCCATGCCACACATGCAACCAGCCATGCCACACATGCAACCAGCCATGCCACACATGCAACCAGCCATGCCACACATGCAACCAGCCATGCCACACATGCAACCAGCCATGCCACACATGCAACCAGCCATGCCACACATGCAACCAGCCATGCCACACATGCAACCAGCCATGCCACACATGCAACCAGCCATGCCACACATGCAACCAGCCATGCCACACATGCAACCAGCCATGCCACACATGCAACCAGCCATGCCACACATGCAACCAGCCATGCCACACATGCAACCAGCCATGCCACACATGCAACCAGCCATGCCACACATGCAACCAGCCATGCCACACATGCAACCAGCCATGCCACACATGCAACCAGCCATGCCACACATGCAACCAGCCATGCCACACATGCAACCAGCCATGCCACACATGCAACCAGCCATGCCACACATGCAACCAGCCATGCCACACATGCAACCAGCCATGCCACACATGCAACCAGCCATGCCACACATGCAACCAGCCATGCCACACATGCAACCAGCATGCCACACATGCAACCAGCCATGCCACACATGCAACCAGCCATGCCACACATGCAACCAGCCATGCCACACATGCAACCAGCCATGCCACACATGCAACCAGCCATGCCACACATGCAACCAGCCATGCCACACATGCAACCAGCCATGCCACACATGCAGCCAGCCATGCCACACATGCAACCAGCCATGCCACACATGCAACCAGCCATGCCACACATGCAACCAGCCATGCCACACATGCAACCAGCCATGCCGCACATGCAACCAGCCATGCCACACATGCAACCAGCCATGCCACACATGCAACCAGCCATGCCACACATGCAACCAGCCATGCCACACATGCAACCAGCCATGCCACACATGCAACCAGCCATGCCACACATGCAACCAGCCATGCCACACATGCAACCAGCCATGCCACACATGCAACCAGCCATGCCACACATGCAGCCAGCCATGCCCCACATGCAACCAGCCATGCCACACATGCAACCAGCCATGCCACACATGCAACCAGCCATGCCGCACATGCAGCCAGCCATGCCGCACATGCAACCAGCCATGCCACACATGCAGCCAGCCATGCCACACATGCAACCAGCCATGCCACACATGCAACCAGCCATGCCACACATGCAACCAGCCATGCCACACATGCAACCAGCCATGCCACACATGCAACCAGCCATGCCGCACATGCAGCCAGCCATGCCACACATGCAGTCAGCCATGCCGCACATGCAGCCAGCCATGCCACACATGCAGTCAGCCATGCCACACATGCAACCAGCCATGCCGCACATGCAGCCAGCCATGCCACACATGCAACCAGCCATGCCGCACATGCAGTCAGCCATGCCACACATGCAACCAGCCATGCCGCACATGCAACCAGCCATGCCACACATGCAGCCAGCCATGCCACACATGCAACCAGCCATGCCACACATGCAACCAGCCATGCCGCACATGCAGCCAGCCATGCCACACATGCAACCAGCCATGCCACACATGCAGTCAGCCATGCCACACATGCAACCAGCCATGCCGCACATGCAACCAGCCATGCCACACATGCAACCAGCCATGCCGCACATGCAACCAGCCATGCCACACATGCAACCAGCCATGCCACACATGCAACCAGCCATGCCACACATGCAACCAGCCATGCCACACATGCAACCAGCCATGCCACACATGCAACCAGCCATGCCACACATGCAACCAGCCATGCCACACATGCAACCAGCCATGCCACACATGCAACCAGCCATGCCACACATGCAACCAGCCATGCCACACATGCAACCAGCCATGCCACACATGCAACCAGCCATGCCACACATGCAGCCAGCCATACCACACATGCAACCAGCCATGCCCCACATGCAACCAGCCATGCCACACATGCAACCAGCCATGCCGCACATGCAGCCAGCCGTGCCACACATGCAGTCAGCCATGCCACACATGCAACCAGCCATGCCGCACATGCAGCCAGCCATGCCACACATGCAACCAGCCATGCCACACATGCAGTCAGCCATGCCACACATGCAACCAGCCATGCCACACATGCAACCAGCCATGCCACACATGCAACCAGCCATGCCACACATGCAACCAGCCATGCCACACATGCAACCAGCCATGCCACACATGCAACCAGCCATGCCACACATGCAACCAGCCATGCCACACATGCAGCCAGCCATGCCACACATGCAGTCAGCCATGCCACACATGCAACCAGCCATGCCACACATGCAACCAGCCATGCCACACATGCAACCAGCCATGCCACACATGCAACCAGCCATGCCACACATGCAACCAGCCATGCCACACATGCAACCAGCCATGCCACACATGCAACCAGCCATGCCACACATGCAACCAGCCATGCCGCACATGCAGCCAGCCATGCCACACATGCAGTCAGCCATGCCACACATGCAACCAGCCATGCCGCACATGCAGCCAGCCATGCCACACATGCAACCAGCCATGCCACACATGCAGTCAGCCATGCCACACATGCAACCAGCCATGCCGCACATGCAGCCAGCCATGCCACACATGCAACCAGCCATGCCACACATGCAGTCAGCCATGCCACACATGCAGTCAGCCATGCCACACATGCAACCAGCCATGCCGCACATGCAGCCAGCCATGCCGCACATGCAGCCAGCCATGCCACACATGCAACCAGCCATGCCACACATGCAACCAGCCATGCCACACATGCAACCAGCCATGCCACACATGCAACCAGCCATGCCACACATGCAACCAGCCATGCCGCACATGCAGCCAGCCATGCCGCACATGCAGCCAGCCATGCCACACATGCAACCAGCCATGCCGCACATGCAGCCAGCCATGCCACACATGCAACCAGCCATGCCACACATGCAGTCAGCCATGCCACACATGCAACCAGCCATGCCGCACATGCAGCCAGCCATGCCACACATGCAACCAGCCATGCCACACATGCAGTCAGCCATGCCACACATGCAGTCAGCCATGCCACACATGCAACCAGCCATGCCGCACATGCAGCCAGCCATGCCGCACATGCAGCCAGCCATGCCACACATGCAGTCAGCCATGCCACACATGCAACCAGCCATGCCGCACATGCAGCCAGCCATGCCACACATGCAACCAGCCATGCCACACATGCAGTCAGCCATGCCACACATGCAACCAGCCATGCCGCACATGCAGCCAGCCATGCCACACATGCAACCAGCCATGCCACACATGCAGTCAGCCATGCCACACATGCAACCAGCCATGCCGCACATGCAGCCAGCCATGCCACACATGCAACCAGCCATGCCACACATGCAGTCAGCCATGCCACACATGCAACCAGCCATGCCGCACATGCAGCCAGCCATGCCACACATGCAACCAGCCATGCCGCACATGCAGTCAGCCATGCCACACATGCAACCAGCCATGCCGCACATGCAGCCAGCCATGCCACACATGCAACCAGCCATGCCGCACATGCAGTCAGCCATGCCACACATGCAACCAGCCATGCCGCACATGCAGCCAGCCATGCCACACATGCAACCAGCCATGCCGCACATGCAACCAGCCATGCCACACATGCAACCAGCCATGCCGCACATGCAGCCAGCCATGCCACACATGCAACCAGCCATGCCGCACATGCAACCAGCCATGCCACACATGCAACCAGCCATGCCACACATGCAGTCAGCCATGCCACACATGCAACCAGCCATGCCGCACATGCAGCCAGCCATGCCGCACATGCAACCAGCCATGCCGCACATGCAGCCAGCCATGCCGCTCATGCAAAGGATCGGTAGAACGAGACATCAACTCATTGAGAAGGAGCAAGCAAGAGCGATGACATGACAATCTTTGGCTGGAGAAGGGAGAAGGAGTGCAGTGGAGTGCACTGTACAGGCCACAGCAGAGGCGGAGCACGTACAGGAGAGTGACCCTGGAGAGACTTGCGAGGGATGGGATGGGCCCCACCAGATGCTCGTGTGTGAGATCCCTGTGGACGTGGGGAGGCAAGAAGCAAGAGCGAAGGCAGGAGGGAGGCTGAATGAGGCGTGCAGAGCGATGCCTCGGTGCAGATCACACCACATCCCAGCTGCTGCACCAACTTCTGCAGAGTTAAAGCGTAGGGGGGTGAGGGGAGGGGGAGCGGGTGTGGCTTTTCAAGCAAGTAAGGGGCGAGATGCGGGGGTCTTTGCATAAAAAAGGCCGCTTTGAAGCTCCGTGGAGTGGAGAGGCGGGGCATGGACGAGAAAGCACGGCTGCCGAGGAAAAGAACAGGAAGGACTGTGCAGCATGCAATGCAATGCAATGCAGATTGGATGGAGGGTGGGTGGGGACGGACAGGTACTGCAGAGCAGCGAGGTTGGTGATGGAGGCAGGTATGGCGGCGCTGCCATCCACCGCCACGGCCTTTGAATCCCTGCCACCCACCCACCACACCACACGCACGCAACCACGCCATACTCCCACCCCTCCCCACCCCTTCCACACACCACCCCCCGGCCCATCGCCTCCCACCATCCAGACTCCACCACCTTTCCCCTACGCCCTTCATTTCCATGCCCCTTACCCCATCCAACTCAACCGCCTCCTCCCAATTCTCGCCCCCACCGCTCACACAACCGCCCAGGTACAGCCCATACAGAACAAAAACAGATGATAGCACAGCAATGAGTGCATGGGCTACGGAGAATTCTAAACACCAGGTGAGCGGAGGCACGTGAAACTCATGATAGGAGAAATTCGCAGGTGTTGGAGAAACAAAAAATGGGTGTGTTTGTTGTTGTGTACAATACCGTTCTTTCAAACATCGATACCGTGTGCTGCGATTGCACACTTCCGGCCATTTAGCATCTTTGCACCCTGACGAACTCCCTGCGCGCGAGCACTTCTTTTCACACGAATTTCCTCCACTTGCACGCGAACGCTCCCCGCGCGAACACATCCTGCTGGTGCCCGAACATTGGCAAACAACCCCCTGAGCATTCACTCCTGAGGAACATTCCATGCACGTTCCCCGCGCGAACGCTTGCTCACTGACGTTTGCGGAAAGTCCGCGCCCAGGCGGTACATCATGGTTCCACGCGAGTCGAACAGTGACGGTGGTCATGTGGGGCAATGGTGGGAGTAATTGAGGCAGTGGGAGCACTCACAACGCGATGACCAGTCCGTTAGGGCTGCATGTCACGCCAGGCCACGCAGAGCACGCAGTGGTGTCGTTGCTGCCCGCCCACGCGCCCCACGCCGCCTGTACCTGCACGATCGCGCTCACTGCGCAGATGCGCAGCGAGCGCTCGAACAAGGGGGGAGGGAAAGGGGGTGATATCAGATGAGCGCCCTCGTTGGGTGAGGCGGACCAGCGCGGGCCTGCCAGCACCAGCACTAGCGTTCGAAGAGTGCACTGGCATGGCGGAGGACAGCTCGCTTGGAAGCGAGCGCGAGGGCGAGCTCACGTTGCGACGCCTCCAAAGCCACGGGCCGTGCGGCGGACGGTTCAGAGTAAGCCGCGGCGGTGGCGGCGTCGAGCTTGAGGAGCGAGCGCTGGGCGCGGATGATGGGCCGAGCAAGGGGAGACAGCACGCGCTGATTCGGTCGAGGGGCTTGTCGCCACGGGTGGTTGGCAGAAGAGGAGCAATCTGCGGCGGTGGAGAGCGCAAGGGCCGCGCAAATGAGAAGCCGAGCTGCTGCGTCGGCACGCATTGACCACGGAGGCGCAACGCGGCGGTAGCAACGCGTGGCGGAGGAACGAGTTCTATTCGTGGCAGACATTGGAAACTACGAGTCGTGGTGAGGGACTGCTAGTAGAATCATTACTAGTGTTGGTAGAACACCGTGTTGGTGAGCAAGGGTCCGACGAACCATCGAGGGACTGGGAAGGCCGTGGAGGGTTAGCAAGGTCCGATCCTCGAGTCGAGGTTGAGGAATGCCAGCGAAGACTCGGAAAACCTTACTAAAAGGGCAGGGCAATAAAACTGCCCAAAGCTTGTGGACGTGGGCTCCCGGCGCAAAGCCTATCTGCGTATGTGTGGATGGGATTCCCCGGCAGCTTTGTCACGTCGGTCAGCGGCAAAAGGTTCCTGGTGGTGAACGTTCTAGTCGCTCGATTCAAGCAGACAGACTTCGGCTACAGCGGAGTGAAACGAGCACAAGCACTGCGCCTACTTCGCCGCTGTCCCCACTTCGGAGAAATGGGACTAATAATGTGGAGGTGATATTACTTCCAAAATGTCTCACTTCTAAGGAGTTTTTTTTAATCCTTACGCGCATCACACTTCACTACTCACGGGCTCGACCGTTCTTCGCCCATTACTGGTTAAAACCAGGGTCATATGTAAGCAAAGGAGCCATCAACTGCAAAACAGTTGAAGCTAGGTTACATAGTTAGAGAAGACGAAGTTCTCTCTGGTTTGGTTGGAAACTCAGCTTGCGAAACACCTGGTCGTTGCCCCAGCAGCAATTGCAAAAAACTTACAGGTAGCAAGAGGACGCGTCATCTCTTCACAATTTTGCACGATCGATCCGGCCCAGGTTCGATTTTGTCCGGTTTTGAAAACGGTTCTAAACGTTTACGATGTAACAAGTAGGTTTCAAGTGTGGTGGACGATCGGGTATTGACACGTCCAGAGACTTTCGATCAGTTCAAAATCGAAATAGGTTACGCGTCCTACGAATTTCGATGAGTTGGGGGTGTTTTTAGGTTTGGCTCCAAACCAAGTTTCCAAGCCTAGAAGGTTCGGGTACACCCAGCGATTTGCATTCACTTCGCACCCCTCGCTTCACCCCACTTCAAACCTAACACCTCGCCAACCAGTCACAGCCATACTTTGACCATCAACTGCAAAACACTTCCAGTACGTATGACCCTGGTTTTAACGATATACGCTACCTCGCGCTCTAGTTTTGCTAAGCCTTGCACAGTTCTTGGTGTAAGTAGGGAATTAACTTAAGCATTCCCGAAAGTGCAGCAGTATCGCACCCGCTACCACTGAAGCAACAACAGCAGCAGTATCGAGTTATCCCATATAGGGCACCCAGGACAAGAGTCGCAAGTCAACCATCACGACTGTTGACCAACCTGGACAGAACAGTTACCAACGAAGAATGGCAACAGGCGTAGTCGTCTCTACAGTTACATGCAGCGACCCGATAACAGGAAATGAGCAAGAGTCAGGGTTATTGCAGCAACAGTTATAAAAAGGGAATGTACCCCTTACCGTATGGCCCCGGACATAGGCGCCGGCCTATTACAGGCGCAGTGCTTGTGCTCGTTCCTCGATTATAAGCGCCCCCCCTTTTGTACCCTTCCTTGTTATAAGCGCCACCCTCATATTTAATACTATTTTTATCACCACAACAAAAGCAAACAACAACTATAACATCGTTCGCTTCAACAAACACTACAGTTTGGGACACAACTTTCCACTTGATCCGCTATTCTAACTAGTTGCTACCAGAACTACTCCTCATCAGACTCGGCCTCCTGGCAGTTGTTGCCAAAGAAGCCGTCGGCGACGATGCTGTCGTCTACATCCACTTCCGCCGTCAGCTGGCTCCGCCTGTGCGCCATGGCGAGGTGGTCCTCACTGCCGTCAAGGGCGTTGCTAATGCCGCAGGTGAGAAAGGCGCGCTTGATGAGGTCGGAGGGGACTGCTTTCCAGGCCCGTGAAATCCATCGAAGGACCACTTCTGGGGGGGGCTTCTTGAGTTTCCCTGCACCACAACAGAGACACCCGGGAAAGCCGTGTCAGCATCCAAGGGAGAGGGGGGGATTAAGCATGCGTGAATAACGGAAACAACGTACCTGCTGCTGTCAGCTGCTCTTGGCCCTCCTCCTCAAACCACTTCTGGTACTGCTGACGAACAGAAGCTTTGAAGCTCTTGTTGATGGAGACGTCGAGCGGTTGAACATCAGCCGTACAGCCCGACGGGATGACTGCAGGCACGCAGTTGATCTCGCGGAGCTTCTCCGGATCTGTTAGACGGGGGAAAAGGCGGGCGGGATAGAGGGCAGATTAGTAAGGGAGGCAGAAACTTAGACTTACCGGTAAAAGCAAGGGGCGTAATCTTACGAGCGGCTGTTTTCTGAGCAACCCGCGTCTTCATGCGTACGCTCAGATTCCACCGCTTCCGAAACCGCTCCGACCATCTCTGACTCCCGCTCCACTTTACGTCCGGGTAGAGGATCTTCATGAACTCCCTCGACCACTCCCGCAGACGGCCGACCGACACGGCAGTTCCTCTGCGGCGCCAGTCCAGGAGCCGCTCGTACACCTTTATCTCCATGGGGCGGTACCACGAGGCCCGCCCGCGACCGTGCATGCGCTTCCGCCCGGTGTGTGCTTCTTTGAGAAATGTTGCAGCCGCCTTCCTGTTGGCGAGACACTTCCGGTGAATCCCACTCGCCCGAGCTAGTGCGCGCACCGACACCGCCGCATCCAGCATCGCGACGTACTTCAACTTCTCCGCAGCTGTGTAGCCTTTGCGCTTGTGATCGCTGATCTTGTGCCTTGGAGAGGGGGGGCGGGCATCACGGTTCTGGGTAGACGGGTGGGGTCGCTTGCGGTTAGCTGGTGGAAAGGAAGGTATCGGCAATTCCTCGGGGAGCCCATCACGTGACCAGTACTCGACGCCGTCGTCGTCGTCCCCACCAGGTACACCCTCAGGAAACACATCCTCTGCGGTTCCGCCCTGCTCGCCAGCTTCCGCAGCCTCGTCGCCGTCAGCACGGCTCGCTTCCTCGTCCTCAGCCACGTCGTCGTCAGCTCCAAGTGCAGATTCGTCCCACGTGCTGCAATCATCGGGCCGGCCCCAACGTGGTCCAGGGTAAGGTGCGCCGGATACCTCAACATCTGGGGCCTTGTTGCTTTCCGGTTCCTCCAGCCACTCGTCGAACGCAGACGGGAGCAGGAGCGTGAGCACGGGCGGATTCCCTGTGTGCAGAGGAGAATCCAGAATAGGAGGAGACGGAGGAATAGGTGGAGTAGGAGGCGCAGGCGGCTCAGGAGGAGCAGGAGGAGCAGGCGGCGCAGGAGGCGAGATGCTGTGGTGGCTCTGGTGGTTCAGCTGGGACACGGGAGTACCATCCGTCGGCGTCGACTACGAAGGCGGGCCTACGCGCGGGCTTCTTCTTGAACAAGAAATGAGTGCCAGAGAATTCTGCCATGGCTTCCGCAGCATGGCGGGCGAGACCAAGAATCTGAATGAAAAAAAGTGAAAGAGAAGGAGAACAAATGAGGGTTTGGAGGGGACCCCTTCTGGTGTGCGGCTCAAGTTCCTCTTCAGGCATAGTCAGATCCCCCCCTGCCTAAACCCGCAGAGGAGGGAATCGCGGCACGTATCTGCTGCACTGGCAGGAATATTCCACCCCCTTCTCGAAAGTTCGGGTGAAATGTGGCACCCTGGCAGCGCATGTAAACCCTATTGGGCCGCACGGCAGAATGCACGTCATCGCTGGCAGGTGTGTTGCACCGGGACGGGCTTTGTGCGGTGGGAAATCGTGTCGCGACTGGTTTCGGCGCGTTTTCATGCACGAGCCCATGCGCACAGTGCATGGTCTTGTTCGCCTTATTGAGGGCTTCAGTTTCGTGCCTTAAAATTCAAAATCCATTTTTGACATTATAAAAGCGCCGGCGCTTATGGCCGTTCCTCAATTACAAGCACCACCCCTAAAAAAAATGAATTTATTATAAGCGCATATGCGCCTATATCCGGGGCCATACGGTACAATACATGGCTATTTAAAACTATTAGTTGCAGTCCAAGCTGGGGTTGAGCGCCTGGAAGGCAGCCGTGCAGGTGTCAGATGGGCAAGACGAGTCCATTTGGAAGTACTCAGCTACGGCCGCACAGGTGTCTCCCTGAGGATGAGATGACCAGGGGGGAGGAAGGGGAGGTGGAGGGCAGAGGAAAAAAAGGAATGAGAGAGTGTGAGGGCTCCACTCCGTAAGGAATGTGAGGTTCAAGAATGGAGGGAGACGGAGGAGGGAGAGATGAACAAGGAGATGCAGATATTATGAAAGTGTGAGTGCCTTCACACGAATGCATGGTGAATTTGAGGTATACGAAATGCATTTTTTTTAGATGTTTGAAGCGGGATGGAGGGCATTGGGTGCGGCACATTAGGACACAAATTGATGGACATTGGGAAGATAAGGATAGTGAAGAAGATAAAAAAGATGACGCATAGTCAGGAAGGAGACGAGAAGTTGGCGCACAGGCACGAAGGAGACAAGAAGTTGCCGCATAGGCAGGAAGGGTTTGAGGTAGGGACCTGCTGAGTGGTGTAGAAGACGGAGCAGGGGATGAGAGAGGCTGGGCTGGCCACTTTGAGCACAGTGGAGGGTGGGATGGGGTCTCCACACGACACCGATGACTGCACACAACGAGGGTGAAGAATAAGAGACATGGCATGCACCCACAAGGGCATGAGAGGCATGAGAGACACGGCATGCACCCACGCAGGCGTGGAGGGGCAGGAGCTTTTGAGTGACGAGCGGAAAGACAGAGAATGGAACTGCACGTGGACTCGAGCGATGAGGAGGAAGAGCGGGGGCAAGGTTAGGTCAGAAGTGTAGGTGTAGGAAACACAAGCCTTGGTTCCTTTGAATGCACTTGAATAACTGGGCCTATGGAGAGTCCTCAAGGGTGGGGGTAACGCACGTTCTGGGCTTGGAACTGGGCGAGCGTGAGGCCGTAGACCGGGAAGACATCGGAGCAGCGGATGTTTGGAAAGAGCACGGTGTAGGTTCTGTTGGTGCCACCTGCATGCAGCACAAGTGCAAACTTTTCATTCCCAGCTTGATTCATCTGTGTAACTATACTTTGGATGAATCTTCTTGAAAATTCTGCTTGTTTGCCCCTCATCCATTCATGGTATGCTGTGCTTGAGGCCATTTTCCTTTCTTAGCAAAAAATGAAAGTGGAGCAAAGGAGAAGCAACATGGAGCACACGAGAGCGCCACAGGAGCACAAAAGATGGTGTACGGAGCTTGAAAAAAACGCTCAGACAATTTTGCATATTGAGTATAAACACAGGAGAAATCTGTACGCTGCGTTTTATGGGTCAATAAGCCGGAATACGCACGAGCAGACCGGAAAAAACAGTTGGATTTGAGCTCGGACGTGGGAAAGTCATATTTGATCTTGGCGAATCGTGATGTCAGCTTCGATCTTGATTGTCAAATCCGATACACAACAAACCTCCCTGTTCACTGTTGGAAGAGTTGGCTTCAACCAGACTCACCTGTAAAAGTTTCTCAATCTCCATTCAATAATCACCTTAAGTGTTTTCCCTTGTTGTTAATGACGACGTACTTCTTGGTGACAAGCTTGACTAGACGGTGGGCACGTGGAGTAGAGGGGGGTTGTTGGTGCTTTGCAGCCTGCCCATCCACACCTCTTAAGTTTTCCAGCCTTGATAAAACTTCAACCTGCCCGAGTCTGAGCGTTCTGTGCATACCGGACCCCTTACAGAGCAGCGTGTTGCGAATGCACACTCGAGCACAGGAGAAGGTGCCATCAATGGTGGTGCCCTGCCTGAAGCCCGGTGGACACACACACGAGTACGACCCCGCCCCGTCATTAATACACGTGCCCACCGCACACGGGTTGCGCTTGGCTGCCTTGCATGCGTCCTCTGATGAGGGGCGTGGCGGGGCGGGGAGGAAAGGGATGGGTATGGAAGGAGGGAATAAAAAGGGAGGGAAGGGGTTTATTGGAAGAACATGGAGACCATGAGAGCAGTGAGAGGATTCGAGAGGTCTTGCTGCTGAGAGGGCTCAACATCAAGCAACAGGAGCAGTAGCAGGAGGCGCAGAAGCAAGAGGAGCAGGACCAACAGCAGCAGCAGCAGCAACAGCAGTGGAGGCTTACTGTAGGAGCATGTGCGAGAGCCATCAGTGTTGGTTGCTTGGATGAAGCGCGGTCGTTGCAGTCACACTCGTTTGTATTGCCCTTTACAGTGCACTTGAACTTGCCGCAGGGACTGAAGAATGAGCCAGTGTTATCATTGCGGGCGGTTATGCTGCAGGGGTCAGATGAACCTGCAGATAGATAGAAAGAGGGACACGCAGGGAGTGCCAAGTAGCAACGCATGTGGGTTCGCATGGGCCAGCACTGCAGAGATGGGTAATACGACATGAAATGGTGGTAGGAGTATAACCGCTTGATGAGTACAACGGATTACAGTGCCCCATGTACTCACCTTTCACATTCACTCACCTTGGCTACATACTCGATTTAGAAACCTGTTCTGAATCACGAAATGATGGTATGACTTGAACTGAAATACAAGGAATTCCATGCACTCACCTTTGTTATCACACTCACCTCTGACCACGGGGTAGAGGCCCGGCAGGGAGTTGATGCCGCAGACGCCATCCCCCCCGTGGATGTCCATGTGCATGTGACCTCCATCGCCCCAGTCAGGCCCCCATGAGTTGCGGATGATCCAGAAGGGCGGCGCCATGTGGGGGAAGCGCGAGTTTTTGCCCACCAGGCGGTACCCCACCAGCAGCACCACGTGGTTCAGGTTGTACGTGAAGCACGCTGGGTCCTGGTACTTGGACAGCTGGGGGAAGGCATGAATGGTTAAGGTAGGCCAACTTATTGAGCGATTTGGCATGTGCCTTTGTAAAGTGCATTGCAGAAGGAGGTGGGTACGATGTGACAGTGACACTACCACAGGTGCAACCAAAGTGCCATGGACATTTAAGGGTGCAGCAGGAATTACACACACGCCCTCCTAATCATTCACAAACACTCTCATTTGGAGCCACACACACCCTCATAATCATTCACACCCTTCCATTTCCTCATCGAGCATATGTAAAGTGAGGGTCATAATTAGCCGCCACATGTTTGTGTTAAGGGGTCATGTGTATGGAAAGGAAGGGTCGAATTCGCACATTATTCATGGAAGGACATTCGCACATGCCCACTTAATGACTCAAAACCATTGCTATAATTCATTCGCTCCCACTCTACTCGCCTCACCCCATCGTAATCCTTGAAGGACGCAGGGAAAGCCTCAATGTGCACCACCACTGGCTGCCGCTGCACGGCCAGCAGCAGCCCAAACCAGCCGTAGAAGGACGTCGACTCAAAGCCGTTGATGGGGAAGCCACCGAGGGGCTGGTGGATGTGGAGGATGGGGTATGGAGGAGGATTGAGGCTCACAGAGATCTAGATGGAACAGCATGCAGGCATACGAGCACTCAGCAAACAGAAAAAATAGAGCTTGGCCTAAAAGCAGCACAGAAGTTAACCAATTCAATGACGAAGCAGCATGCGTCGAATCAATCCGGCAATGCTATGAGTACGTTGGTGACTTTAGAGCGGCGCTCCGCGCGAGACACTAAGGGTTCTTCATCATGGCATTTGCCTCGTCCACCATGGCCAACCCCATCACCCCACTCCGCCTTGAAGCCGATGGGTCTAGCTCCAACTTCAAGGCATTCATGACTCACCCGCTCCCACGTGCCTTGATTGCACCAAGAGCAAACTGCGCCAACAGCCCCATCCTCGTTGCCGCATGGTCGCAGGAGCACCTCTGGACCTAGTGCACATGGACGTCTGGGGCCCTGCCCCCGTTCCCGCACGAGGTGGCCATCGCTACTTCCTTGCTATAGTGGATGACCACTCCCGCTATGTCTCTGTTCACCTCCTCCACACCAAGGCTGAGGCCCCAGAGGTCATCATGGCGTGGGTCAAGCAGGCACAGACCACCTTTGACCGCAAGGTCAAGCGCCTTCACTCGGATGGGGGGGGGGGGAATTCTGCAACGACAAGCTCAAAGCCTTCTGCTCCTCAGAAGGCATCCAGCAAAACTTCACCCTTCCTGACAGCCCACAGCAGAACGGCATAGCAGAGAGCCGCAACCACACCCTGGTGCAGATCACTCGGTGCCTCCTCAGCCATTCCAACGCTCCACTCTCTCTCTGGGGATACGCCCTCTACCATGCCGCCCTCCTCTATAACCTTTACCCCCACCCGCATATTCCCGACACCACTCCAACCACACTTTGGCTCGGGAAAACACCCACTGCTCGCTCTCTTCGCGTCTGGAGGTGCACCACCTATGTCCTCCTCAACCCTCAGGTTAGGCGACAGCGCGGTGGCAAACTCGGTCCCAAGACTCAAACGTGCATCTACCTTGGGCACAACGCCGACTCCCCTAACTATCTCTTCCTCAACCCCTCCACTCAACAGTTAGTCCGGAGCCGCGACGTTGTCTTTGATGAACTCTGCCCATTCTACTCCACCTCGGGACCGGATCCTCCTTCCGATCCACCCTCTCTTGTGTGGGCGGACTTTGATGCACAACCTGACCTCCCACCTGCGCCGGCCCCCTCACCTCCTCCCTCTCCTGCCATCGCACCTTCCCCCTCAGAGATCTCTGACCCGACCTCGCCGGTGTCTTCGGCAGCTGCTCCTCCATCCCCCTCACCTCCCACTCCGCCGACTATGCTGCCACCTCCGAGCGCACCTATCACTTACCATCGGCGGTCACACCCTCCAGCCCCACATCCTCCCCCAGTTCCCCCTACCACAAAGGTACCCGCTCTCCCACAGTCGCCCGAGCTGATCACGTACCAGCGGCGGCCCATTCCACCACCGCCTGCCCCACCCTCTTCTTCGGTGGCTCATGGCACTCGCTCGCATGGCGCTGCTCTTCCACTGGCACTGATTCTTCGATGCACTGCGATCACTCCACCTCCTCCTGCTAGGGGGTATGTGCCCTCTACCCTTTTGGAAGACAGGCATGAGGAACTGTGTGATCTTCACGCTGTCATTCCTCAGCTCTCGCACATCTTCCCCGACATCACTGAATCACCCTCACTCAACTTCACGGGAAACCCGACCATCCCTATCCCTCTCACCGTCCAAAAGGCTCTCTCGGGTCCCCATGCAGCCGAATGGCGTGCTGCCACGGAAGGTGAGATTGAAGCATTCACCCGCAAGCACTCCTTCGACGACGAGACTCCACCTCCAGGAGTCAACATCGTCGGGGGCAAGTGGTTGTTTCGTGTGAAACAACTCCCAGACGAGGCCCCGGTGTTCAAAGCGCGTTACGTAGCCAAGGGTTTCACCCAGCAGCAGTACCACGACTTCTTCAAGACCTTCTCCCCAACATCCAAACCTCCCACTATTTGCACGCTTATGGATGTCGCAGCACGAGAAGACTTTGAGATCAAATCCATGGACGCCTCATCGGCTTTCCTACAAGGACGCCTCAAGGAGACAGTGTTCATGGACAGACCTGAAGGCTTCCCAGGAGAATTCCCTCCCAACACTGTCTGGAAGCTGAATCGCCCCGTCTACGGCCTTAATCAAGCCCCTCGCGAATGGCACAACAAGGTTAAAGAAGTCCTTCTCTCCCTGGACTTCCACCCATCATCTGCGGACCTGACTCTCTTCATTCGCCGTCATTCTGAGCCATTCTACATCCTTGTCTACGTCGATGACTTCATCCTCGTTGCCAAGGACTCGGCCCAGATGACCTCTGTCCAGGCGGCCCTGAGCAAGGCCCTCCTGATGGAGATCACACGTGATCGCAAGGCTCGCACCATTTCACTCTCCCAGGAGTTCTACATCAACAATGTGCTCAAGCGGTTTGAGATGGAGCTGTGCACACCTGTTGCCACCCCGCTGCCGCTGCAACACCTCCTCAGAGCTCCAGCTGTACCCACACCAGAGGCCTGCTCTGAGCCATACCCGGAGCTTGTTGGGTCCCTCATGTACGCCATGACGTGCACCCGACCGGACCTGGCATATCCTGTCAGTTTCCTCTCTCGCTACGTGGCCCCTGGGCGCTTCACTGACCTTTACTGGAAGGCGGCGAAGCGGGTACTGCGTTATCTCCAGGGCACCAAGTCTCATGTTCTCACACTCGATGGGCTCTCCCCTCCTCGCCTGGAAGGTTACACTGACTCCTCTTGACCAGACCGACCGACGCTCCTCTCAGGGGTACTGCTTCACCCTTAGGAGCGGAATTGTCAATCGGCGCTCCACCAGGTCGTCAGCAGTCTCCCTCTCCTTCTGTGAGGCAGAGCTCTAGGCTGGCACCATGGCTGCTCAAAAGGCCCGTTGGCTCACCTTCCTACTCCAGGAGCTTGGCTACCCTCAGTCCACCCCCACCCTCTGGTGTGACAACCAGAGTACTATGCACCTCTCCCAAGACCCTGTGTATCACACTCGCACCAAGCACATCAAACTTCGGCATTTCTTCATCCGTGACCTTGTCCAGCGGGAGCAGTTGAGCGTGGACTACGTTGCATCTGACTGCAACCTGGCTGATCTGTTCACCAAGCCCCTTGGGAAAGTTCCTCACCATCGTCTCCTTGGCGCCATGGGGCTCCGTGTTCCACCTTCTCTGCCCTGAGTTCGATTTCCGCCTATGGGGGGGTGTTAGTGTTAGCCCTCAATCTCACACTTTGTACTTTATATTTTCTATATCCTAGAGTAGTGTAGTTTGCACTTTGTGTTTGGTTGGGTGTACACCTACATCCCAACCAAACCCAACTGTAATCTCCAAGCAATCTCCAACCCACCAATTGGAGATTGCCTTAGGATTACCCCCAATCCCTAGGGATTGCCCCCGATTCCCTTCCCCATCCATTCCCTACCCTTCTTGGATGTACTTAAAGAGCTTCAAGCTCATTACTAATGTATCAGTTGTAAGCCTATGTTGTGACACACGTACAGTGACAGCGCCGCCCTTGTCGCACGACACACCAAACGTCTTCGCCAGTGGCTTCATGAGCGGCGCGCAGAGCGGACTGCTGCAGCCTGCCTTTACGGGCTTCTTGCTGTTCTTGATTGTCCACTGTCTCTCCGGCATGAGCCCACCTCCCTTTTGTGCCAGCTTGAGCAGCAGCTGGAAGGCCTGAGAGGGCGTGCTGCCAGAGCAGCCGACCTTCATGGCGGTCTTGAGCTGCTCCACTGACAGCACTGGCGCCACTGCAGTGTTGGCGAGAATGCCGAGCGCAGCCTTGATGCTGCCCACCACTGCGTACGCCCAGCAGTCGCCTGCCAGGCAATGCATGGGTTGCGTAGGGTTGCATGAAAGAAACACATGGGGCGTGAGGATTGCTTTGAGCAAACACGAGGGTTCCATGGGACCCTTGAAAAAAAACGCACTGCATACAAGCAATGCGTGAAGTCTGATGCTGCAGTAGTAGACCAGTAAGATCACCCCATGCACGAGGAAAAGACCTATGTTGACAAGTACGCATTTTGCGTTTTATACGCCATCGTATAACACGCTGGCGTTTATACGCAATACGTGAGGGAACAAGGGCTGGAAATACGTGAAAAAACGCGTTTCTGGGCAGTACAGAAAGTTCTGCACAGGATGATAAAATTAAAAGGTTTCCCAGGGGGAAGAATGGGGGGAAGACAGAACACATCCCCTCCCCTCTCCCTCCCACTCCCCCAATTTGAAATGCCAGTTGAGGTGAACTTTCAAATGCGGAAATGAGAGCATAAACCCTAAAGAGGGACGGGTTGAATTAGGGAGGTTGGGGTGTGTGGTTACTGGTGGGAAGACATTACCCGAATCCCTCCGCGAAAACCCGTTTGCCCCTGCGGGTTTTCCTCGGAGGGATTTTGGTTTTCCCGCTG